AGATATAATATTATCCAAGATATGGGGAAAGGGGCTAGGATGTTGTTCTCCTCTCAGGATTCTAGAACCAGAGGCCATCTAAAGAAGCTGATTGTTAGAAGATTCAGGATAGAGAAAAAGAAGGACTACATGGTCACTAACTTAGATGGCTTTTGAAGATTAGAAAAATGCATGGATCTATCAATGGCTAAGTTCTACCTCCATCGTCAGAGGCCTCTGAATATTAGTTGCTAGGAATCACGGTTGAGGAGAGAACTTTTGTGCTCAGATCCTGCTCACGGGCTTCCTGTAGGCATCTGGTTGGCCAATGGGAGAACAGGATGCTGGACTAGATGAGCCTTTGGTCTGATCCAGTAGGCTCTCTTTATGTTCCCTGTGTAATGTGTGAAATGCCCTGTAATGCCATTTTTATCCATGAAACAGCCAGCACTGGCCACAGGCTTATTCTGTGTTCAGTTTCCTCAAATACTTTGCAAAGGCAGGTAGCTCAGTTGTGGGTTATCAGTGAGATAATGCACAAGGGAAACACAGACCCTCCAAGTGTCCCTATTTTCCAGGGACAGTCCTGGATTTACAGAAGCCGTCCCAGGTTCTGACTTGACCCCGTAATGTCCCACTTTCCCTTAGGACATCGCTATTTCCATCGGAGAAATGTTGGAGGGTATGGAGTTATGCAAACTCCAAGCCAAGGGGATAAGTAACTACACAATCTTTAGAAGACATCTGAAGACAGCCCTGTATAGGGAAGTTTTTTTTTAATGTTTAATGTTTAATTATGTTGGAAGCTGCCCAGAGTGGCTGGGGTAACCCAGTCAGATGGGTGGGGTACTATTATTATTATTATTATTATTATTATTATTATTATTATTATTAAAGCTATGGTTTTCCCAGTAGTGATGTATGGAAGTGAGAGCCAGACCATAAAGAAGGCTGATCGCCGAAGAATTGATGCTTTTGAATTATGGTGCTGGAGGAGACTCTTGAGAGTCCCATGGACTGCAAGAAGATCAAACCTATCCATTCTTAAGGAAATCAACCCTGAGCGCTCACTGGAAGGACAGATCCTGAAGCTGAGGCTCCAATACTTTGGCCACCTCATGAGAAGAGAAGACTCTCTAGAAAAGACCCTGATCATGGGAAAGATTGAGGGCACAAGGAGAAGGGGACGACAGAGCACGAGATGGTTGGACAGTGTTCTCGAAGCTACCAGCATGAGTTTGACCAAACTGCGGGAGGCAGTGGAAGACAGAAGTGCCTGGCGTGCTCTGGTCCATGGCGTCACGAAGAGTCAGACACGACTAAACAACAACAACATTGTTATTGTTGTTGTTGTTGTTATTTACTATCATGGAATAGGATGTCCCTATTTTCATTGGAGAAATATTGGAAGGTATGAAAACAGCTCTTGAACTTATAAAGAAAGTTCTCTTACTGAATTGGTTGTTTAGTGAAAAATGTGTGAAGAGGACAATTGGCTGGTAACTTTTACATTAACAAATGTATAGCACTTTTAATGTGCAAAGTGCTTAACAATGCTAGATGCTCACAAAGCTTTTTATTTTATTTTAATTTCATATGAAACAGGTAAGTAGAGTAGGCCACCCGTGATATTCATGGCTAAGCTTGGTGTTGAACCCAAGTCTCCTGGTTCCATTCTCTCTTTATGGTGTTAAGTGCTTTGGCTTATCTGAGACTTAAAGGAGAGCTCTTCACCCTCAAATCAGAAGCAGTTGTCAGTTTACAACTTTTCAGGTAAAACTGCCACTCCACTCTGCAGCTTCATCCCATCAATATTAAATATCACAGGTGCTCTCACTGACCACAGTCACACTGCCAGTGCTATTTTTCTAGAAAAAGAGGAGCTGGACCTCACCAGGAACTTCTCCTTGTTCTCTTAGAATGGCAATGATATCCATCTGCGCTCTGGCTGAAAAAAAGAAGCAGCCCTGCGCGTTTTTTTGGAAGATTTTCAGGAAGCCATTTACCACTATGTAGTAATGTAAATCAGCTTACAGAATGCAGGAGAGAAAGAGAGACAACTGGCCTGGAAGATGCAATGAAGAAAGGCCTGCTTAGCAGAATCTAGAACAAGACATACAGGTTCTCAAGTCAACAGCACTGAAGTATTTCCCCATGGATTTCGGCTAGCTGAGCTTTGTTATCTTCTGCGTTTATGGATAACCCCTGTGACAGAGTGTCAGTGAACAACTATCAGGAAGCAAAATATCCCTGCAAACTAATTCCAGGGAGTCAATCTTTGGGATTGGATGAGAAATTTGACCAGGTCCATCTCACAGGCCAAAGACCAAAGACCATGGTTCTTCCAAGATGATCTGTAAAGCCTTCCAGAATATCAGAAGGAGAGGAACTATTTAAGTGTTATACTAGCCTCAGTTGAATTAGGGTATCAACCTGTGCCGTCAAAATGTGTGTGTAGGTAGCCTCCCTGTTATGTCTGGGTCAATGTTCCACTGCTGGTTTTGCTCAGTAGGAGAATGAAGAGATAGGTCTTTTAGGAATCTGAAAAAGCCTCACTGGGAAGTCTAAAATTGTTCAGAGAGGCAAATATGCCAAATAAATGTACAGTATTTCCTTGTCCCAGTCTGCAGGAAAAGGCAGACATTTACCTTCTCTCTCTCTTTCTCTCTCTTTTCTTTCTTTCTTTCTTCCCTCCCTCCCTCAAGCTTACTTCTTTCACCAGCTTCTCCTAAAAACAACTTGCAAAGTTTCCTTACACACTTGTAATATATTCAAGTGAGAAATTCTTAAAAGGGAAACCGCATACAATTATTATTATTTTTGTTTTTCAGTAGTTGAAAGTCTTGCCAGTTCAGTCTTTGGCCTTTAAAAGGAAGTGAGTATACTCTGGTATACTTCCTTTTTCTGGTATATTTTTTGGTATATTTCAGAGTTTTTGGACTCTGAAATAAATCCAAACCATGCATAGGACTGTATCTTTAGGGTCAAAGCCTAAACCTGTGAACTATGGACACTTAAAATGGGGTCAACAGTTTCCAAGGGAAGCAGGTAAATAGGAGGGAGGAGAAAGGCTGGAGAACAGAAACAGAAAAGAATGCAAGGCTACAGAAGACCAAGAGTGACTCAATAAAGACATGTTTTCAGAAAGCAAATGGGACGCTAGTTAAAGCATTGGTTAGTACTGAATTTGGGGTGCTAGGTTGGGCCTAGAGCCCTCTCAATATCCATATGAAGTAATTTATGAATGGTTGCACCTTTATGAAGTAATTTATGAATGGATGCACCTTGAGTTTAACACACACACACACACACACACACACACACACAGAGTGAATGTTAAAGCCTAGGCTGCCAGTTCACATGTTGCAATTGGTGAAGCTCACTTTGAACACACCAAGATGGCAACGTATTATAGGCTATGACAAATTAAATGAGGACAATGCGTCCATAGGTGAACAAAAGTGTATTCTGCAGTGTATTACGGCAGTCAAGGCAGAGTGGTGCCTTCACAGGGCAAACTCAGCTCCATGAGACAAATGTCTCTAGGGTCATCCATTAAATCAGTGTTTCCCAGACTTGGGACTACAACTCCCATCATCCCTAGCTGGCAAGACCAGTAGTCAGGGACGAAGGGAATTGTTGTCCAAAAACAGCTAGAGACCCAAGTCTGGGAAACCCTACATTAAATGCTGAAATGTACGTTTGCTTTCTCTCTTCACACACAGAGAGACTTTAAAAATGTAATTGTAATAATGCAATTGCACCTGTTTTATTTGCTTCCCCATAAATTATACTTTGGGAAATTTGAGAACTAGTGGTTTGGGGGCTTTTTTTCTTGCTGCGACAAAGCTTGAGAGGTCCTGTCAGAGGCCACAATCAAAGGGAAATGGATTGGCAACCTGGAATTTGGAAATGAATAGAAACATTCCTTCAAAAAGTGGTACTAGCCATGGCTTCAAAACTACAGCACTAATACTTATCCTTTGAAGACATTTACTCCACCAGAACGCTATGGTAAAAATGTTTTCTTTAAAAAATAAAAATAAAGTTATGACATAATATATTGTGAAACGCCCCTGAAATACATTCAACTTTCATCTTTGTAACGACTTCAAGTTTATTCTTGTTCTTTTTTTCCTCTCCTTACCTTTTGCTTTTAAAACGGGAATCAAGTGTGTGTTAAAACACATTTGAAATCCCTCCAGGTCATATTTTATTTTCCTTGAGTTTAAAAAAACAACAAAAAAACATTCTTTTTTCTTCTCCTTGTTTTGAGGTAAATTATTTTTCCTGAGTAGTTAAAAAAGAAAAAGAGAACCCACTACATACATTACAAAAATAAAAAGGATGCTAGTTTACTAAACAATCTACATTTTAAAAAAAATAAATCCCAAAAGCCTTCCCTTAAAACCCATTGATGCCATTTGCTTTAACAACGATGCTCTTGATGGCTTTAAAGAACATCAAGGGCTAAATTATGCCCCTGGAAATGAGTCTGTATCAGAGTATAAAGCAGTGAATGACAGCATCGTGCCATTTCCATGGAAGTTAAGAACTCTACAGAAATAACCAGGAGGTACAGTGTTAAAAAGAGTTGGGAAGGGGACAATACCTGGCCGAATACTTTACAATGCTGGTACAGAAAGGGATGACTGGGGGAACAGATTAATAATAAATAGGTTATCCTGAGTTCATTCAGCAACTACTTTTCATAAACATAGAGACCCAACAACCACCACACAGTCAAAATTCCAGACATTTTTTAAAGGGGAGGGGAATGTACGCAAATCAATCTAGGGGAAGTCCTTGCATCCAAAATTAGGTGTGACTTTCTAACAGACGACTCCTCACCCATCGCCCGCTTTTCATAGGCAGGCAGGCAGGTTGCGGCCTCCCAAGGAGAGCGCTCAGAGCGGCAAAGCTTTTAACAGCAAAAGCAAGAGAAGGAAATCAAATCTCCCAACACCTTCCATTCAGAGAGACCCGAGACCATCAAAAAAGAAAAAGCCGGTCACTCTCCACTAGTGCTGAGACCCATACATTTTATCCCATTCCACGTACAAGTCCAGCTCCTTCTGAGAGACGGCAGGGTGGATTTTGCAGAAAACGCTTTCGAAATCCTTGTAGGAGGTGGGCTGAAGCTGCCCCGGCAGGCTCTGCAGCTTGCTGGACGCAACCTGCTGGCAGAGGTGGAGGAGCTCGCTGCCGGAATAGCTCTCAGTGAGTTGGACAATGGAGGCCATCTCCCTCTCGTTGAGGCAGTAGTTTTGCTGGGCTAAAGCATGGTGCAGGATCTGCCGCCTGGCAACGCTGTCTGGCGGGGAGATGTAGAAGCGCTTGGCAAACCTCCTCTGGGTGGCTTCGTCCAGGTTGCCAGGCCTGGTGGTGGTTGCTATGACCACAACGTTCTGCTCGCCTGAGGTAGCAAGGTTATCCAGGTAGGAAAGGAGCTGGGACTTCAGGACAGCGGCGTCTTCCAGGAGGGATTCCACATCAGTGAGGAGAACGACCGCCGGCTGCCGGCAGTTGGACACGAAGAACGTGGCCTGCAGGATCTTCTCGGCTTCTGCCTTCCACTTGGAGACCAAGGCTGTCCCGCTGAGCTTCATCAGGGTGGACCCCAGCTGGGTGCAAACGCATCTGCTCAACAGGGTCTTCCCGACACCGCGAGGTCCAAAGAGCAAGATGGTTTTGGGTGGCCGGCTTGCCCCAGTGTAAGCACCTGGCCTCAAGATGGGCCACACCAGCTCTTCCTCGATGGCAGCTTTGACAGAGACTTGCCCTGCGATGTCTGTCCACTGAACTGGAGGACCGCAATCAATGATCTTGTTGTTCACCAGCTCCAGAACAAACGGGTCCATGGCTTTCAGCTGCTCTTCCACAGTCTGGCTGCTGTTGTCGCTGCTGAAGGGTGGCGGCTTGGGTTGCATCCTGAGGGCAAAGGACTCTCCTCCATGTTCCCCGTTGGCAGCCGGAGGGGTGAACTTCTCAAAGGTCTCGCTAGGCCTCAGCGGGGCTTCACCCACGCTGTAAGCCGTAGACACCAGGCCTTTCATGGGCTGGCTGTTGTATTTCCCCACAGGCTCCTCTGAAGCCACGGTGGTGGCCGCCACGCCTGCGGGCCTCTTCCCCCCTTTGAAAGGCACCTCAGAGCTGCGGCTGAACCCATTTCCTCTACATTCACCGCTGTCGGACATCTGATACGGAGACTTTGGTTGCTCATAGCTGTATTTGCGATACCGGCCTTCGCCGTCATCTTCACCGCCGGCGAGATCAAAGGCCTTCCTTTTCAGAGAGCTCCCCGACTCACCACTGAGGGGTGGCACAGCTAGGGGGCTCTGGTAGCTGTACCCAGGGACGACAGGGGGGCGAGAGGAAGGAGGGATGGGTGTGGGGGCAGCAATGCCCGAGGGCAAATACGAGGCTGACGGGTGGGGAGGGTGAATGGTGCCATAGCCAGGCTGGGGTGGGTAGCTGCCTGAGGCGTAATTGTACATGGGTCCTGAGGAGCTGTAGCTGGGGACGAGCGCCGTGGAAGGGTGGCTGGGTTGAAGGAGGCCTGAGCTATGCAAGGTGGACGGGTGTGGAGGCGGAAGCGCCGAGGCAGGTTGGCTGCAGTAGCCCGATGGCAAGTAGGCCCCACTGTAGCCTGAAGGGTACTCCTGAGACGGACCAAGACTGCCAGAAGTCGGGGGTCCCCCGCATGTGTTACTGGGGTAAATGGAGTCCGACAGATTGCTGGAGACCACCGGGGAGGTCCCAAGGCTGTTCCCAGGGGTGACAGCAGGAGGGATGATCCCCTTGGAGGTGGGCAATCCATCGTGCATCGGGGTCAAAGGGTAAGCCCCCTCTGAGCTGTGCGCCATCGGCCAAGGCTCCATCTCTCCCTTCTGGCCGTTGAGGGGCCCAAAGGCGCCATCCCCGTAGGTGTTGAGCCCCGGTGGCCTGTCATATGGGGAGTCCAGTACTCCGGAGTACTTCTCAGCATACCTCTTCAGCAGGTTGGAGGCGGTCAGGGCAGAGATGTCATCGTTGGCCCAGGCGTAGTTGAAGCGCTGCCGGCTGCTGTGGTAGAGGTCCGACTTGTGGGCAGGCGATGAGGTTGTGGAGGAGACATCAAGGTGCTGCTCTGGCCACTGGTTCAGGGGCTGAGCATGCTCGGGTGTCCAGTGCATGTTTGACAAAAGAGCTAGGGAAAAAGCAGCAAAGAAAACCAGGATTAGGTTTTGTCTTTGGGGTGATAGATACCGTATTTTTTGCTCTATAAGACGCACCAGACCATAAGACGCACCTAGTTTTGGGGAGGAGGAAAACAAGAAAAAAAATATTCTGAATCCCAGAAGCCAGAACAGCAAGAGGGATTGCTGCGCAGTGCTCCCTCTCTCGGGATGAAGGCTCCCCCTGCCCTGAAGAGGTTTCGCACAGCGAAGCCAGAAGCTAGAACAGCGAGAGGAGAGGGAGCGCTGTGCAGCGATTCCTCTCGCTGTTCTGTCTTCGCCACGCGAAGCCTGCATGCGCTCCATAAGACGCACACACATTTCCCCCTACTTTTTAGGAGGGAAAAAGTGTGTCTTATAAAGCGAAAAATACAGTAATGAGTTAAAGAAAATGTTTAAAAACACTTTTGTTTAAAAACCAGAAGCTTTTTGTATTGGGTATAGACAAGATAAAAAAAAAATCTTATATGCAACAACTGCAGCAAGAATTCTGTTAGCCCCAAAATGGAAACAACAGGAGTTACCAATGAGTGGCAGATGAAAATGATGGACTTTGCAGAACTGGCAAAACTGACGGGAAGAATCCGGAAGCAGTGAGATCAAGCATTCCAAAAAGACTGGAATAAATCTATATTACATTTGAAAGACAACTGTAAGCAATTAACATCACTAGCAGGGTTACCGTATTTTTCCATGTGTAAGACTAGGTTTTTTTCCGTTAAAAATAATGTCAAAAATGTGGGGGCGTCTTATACAAGGAGGCCATCTTCCCCCCCCCATTTTCTTAAATCGGAGTCCCCAAAATTAGAGGGCATCTTACACATGGGGGCATCTTATAGACGGAAAAATACGGTAGTTGAAGATGTGTAAGATGAAATTGCTACCTATTCAGGTTGAGTAATTTAATATTTTAGGTAACAAGGATAGGAAATAAAGTGAAAGGTAAAGATGCAAAATTTAATTTTATTAGGCGGGAGGGAAGGAAGTTGATAGGCTCAGTTGAGCCCAAAGAGTTATAAGAAGAAGATATATTACTGTGTAATGTGATTATATGTAAAACTAATAAAAATTAATATATATAAAAAGATTTTGTCTTTTGGGAATAATAGGAACAGAACTACCTAAATTGTATAGGAATTTATTTATGTATGCTACTACAACAGCAAGAATGCTACTTGCCCCCAAAATGGAAAGAAGCAGAAGTCCCAGCAAAGGAAGAATGGATACAAAAACTTACGGAATATGCAGAAATGGCGAAACTTACCGGAAGAATAAGAAATTCTTTTTATAAAAGAATGGAAATGGTTTACTGAACATTTACAGATAAAAACATTGGCAGGGTTATGGTAATAACCTGCAGTTTCATAAGAGTATATATTTAAACTAGATAATTAAATGAGCAAATTAAGTTAATTTGGATATGCAGAAAATTAATTTAAGGAGCCGCAGAAAGAGGGGGAAGGAAGTCAAACTTTGAAATGTTAAATTGATTGTAAAACTAAGGAAATGTATAAACTTGAAAGGTATAAATAAATGATGCGACACTGGCGGGGAATTGTGGGGAATCAAAATGGCAGCTGCCAGATCTCTACTAGGAGGCGGACATCGTTTTAATTTCCCAGGGTGCTCCGGAACAATGTCCCGCAGGGGGAATTGTGGGGAATTAAAATGGTGGCCCGAGACCCAGTTGCCTAACACAGAAGTGTTGGGAGGGGGAAAGGCTGAAAAGAAGGGGTAAAGCTTTAGGATTGCTCCTAACAGTGTGGCGACACCAGATCTCCTCCCCGCAGCTACTGGCTACAGGGGGAAATCAGCAGTAACAAGCAAGCTGTCTTTCAAGGGAAGCTCCTGACGCCCTCATTACCGGCCTTCTCATTGCAGCCCTCCTGATCAAACTCCCCAGGGAACTGCCTGTCTTGGCAACAGGACCAATTTCTTCAGGATTGTTTCTGCTATTCTTAAAATCTATCACTATCAAAGAGGGTGGTTATTATTATTTTTTTGGATTTTTTTTTTTACTATTTGCACACATGCAGGCACCATTGTTTTCCTCGGAGCCACACTTTCAGAATAAAAATTTGCTTGTGCAACACTGGTTTTTTTTTAATTGATAAGAAATACATTTTGTGGCGGGAGGAGGAGAGAGATACAACTCCTAACAGTGCTTGATTTGTAACACGTAACCCAGCTACATTATAATATACCGTATTTTTCGCTCTATAAGACGCACCAGACCACAAGACGCACCTAGTTTTTGGAGGAGGAAAACAAGAAAAAAAATATTCTGAATCTCAGAAGCCAGAACAGCAAGAGGGATCACTGCGCAGTGAAAGCAGCAATCCCTCTTGTTGTTCTGGCTTCTGGGATAGCCGCGCAGCCTGCATTCGCTCCATAAGACGCACACACATTTCCCCTTACTTTTTAGGAGGGAAAAAGTGAGTCTTATAGAGCAAAAAATACGGTAATTGTGGGATATCCAGGAAATATAAAGCAATGCAGCTACATAAGAACACGAAGTCTTCCCAAAATATAAAATTAATTGTCCTTGAATCTTCCCGCTATAATTGTCATCCTTTGAGAACCACTGGTGTACAGCATTATGCTAGGGTATTTTTCCGCTTCCTGAAAGATATACAGTGGTACCTCAGGTTACATACGCTTCAGGTTACAGACTCCACTAACCCAGAAATAGTACCTTGGGTTAAGAACTTTGCTTCAGGATGAGAACTGAAATCGTGCTCCGGCGGCGCAGCGGCAGCGGGAGGCCCCAGTAGCTAAAGTGGTGCTTCAGGTTAAGAACAGTTTCAGCTTAAGTACAGACCTCCGGAACGCATTAAGTACTTAACCCGAGGTACCACTGTAATATAATTGTGGGATATCCAGGAAATATAAAGCAATGCAGCTACATAAGAACACGAAGTCTTCCCAAATATAATATTGATTGTCCTTGAATCTTCCCGCCATAATTGTCAACCTTTGAGAAGCACTGGTGTACGGCGTTATGCTAGGGTATTTTTCCGCTTCCTGAAAGATATATGCCTAGCATAAATTAAAAACTTGAAATTTATTATTATTACAGTGGTACCTGGGGTTAAGAACTTAACTCATTCCGGAGGTCTGTTCTTAACCTGAAACTGTTCTTAACCTGAAGCACCACTTTAGCTAATGGGGCCTCCCGCCGCCGTTGCACCACCGTTGCACGATTTCTGTTCTCATCCCGAAGCAAAGTTCTTAACCTGAGGTAATATTTCTGGGTTAGCGGAGTCTGTAACCTGAAGCGCATGTAACCTGAAGCGTACGTAACCCGAGGTACCACTGTATTATTATTATTAACCTGGGTTACTCGATCGGGTAACCATGTTCTTACACAAAGTGTGGGCCCGCTTTAGACACAGAAGGCAGCCATGCTGGCTTGAAACGCTTGCAGGGGGACTCAAAGCCCCCTTCCTCCTCCTCCTCCCTCCTGGTCTCAGCTGCTTTATAGCAAGCAGGCGGAGGAATGCACACAATGAAGCAATCAAGGGCAGAGCTGGAGGAATGCATCACCAGTTTCCCCCGACCTAAGTAACTTTAATTGTGCTGGGGTGTTTCTGCCCCTGCCCCGTGGCTTCCTCTGGTCCTCCTGATCTAATGAGTAGAGACATTTCAGGAGCCTTGCTGTGGGGCCGAGCAAATTCCAAAACCTCGAGGCTCCAGAGAAAGGGAGCGCGAGAGAAGCAGAGGAGGAGGGGAGGAAAAACAGAACGAAGAAGCAGCAGCACGTATCACATTATAGAGATTGGCAGGATACTTGCAAAAAAAAAGAGAGCGCTTGCAATCCTAGTTTTTCATTTCCTCTGTGTGTGTGTTTTGAATGTGTTATGGATTGAAAACAGATATTATAGGCAAAATGAGAAATAAAAAATGGACAGTTATTCATTCGTTAACCAATGCTTGCTTTGTACACCCTCTGTGATTAGCTCCGGTCTTCCCCTTGCCTTTCCCGATTTAAATTCCTTAAACACGCACTTAAAATTTACTTTCTCCATGTTATTTGACTTACTCGGAATTTTATTTTATATAATTATCCTATTTGCACACCGAAGTTCAACCAAAGCCTGCCAACGGACTGATCTCTTGACGATGTTCTTTTACATAAACTCTGTTTATATCCCACTCTCTGGGAAATTTTCTAGTTTTTTCATTTCCAGGTCCCTTCCTTAGCATTGTTGGCATGTGTGTGTTGTGTTTGTGTGTGTGCATTTGCTCACCAGATCCACTACACCAGCCCACCCCCCTTCTCCAGGGTCCCCCCCTCCTCTGCTCATTCACAAAAGGCCCTGGGAGGGGGGGGCAGAATGCTGAAGTGTGGGTTGTGGTTTAGCATTGCCATTCAGCCTCTAAGCCACTTTGTGGCTGCAGTACAATTAGATTACCTAATGCTTTAATTGACTTATATGGCATTTGTACTTTCACTGAGGATATCAAAACTTACACAGGAGGATTTAAATGGCAGCTTTAACTGGGCTTTCTCCGGCGGCCTGCCTTCATTTACTCCCCATTATATATTAAAAAGTGCCACAATTAGGCAAAAGGTCCGCAGAGAGGGTGCTCTCATCGCTACCCCCACCCCACTCCCGGCCGAGTAAATAAATAAATTAAAATGGGCGGGTGGGTAAACAAATAAAAGGGACTCGGCGGGGGGCAAGCTTTGGAAAAAATGAAGACAATGGGAGCCTTCTAATAAAACACTCACTTTGGACAGGCAATTCCAAGCATAGTACAGTGGTACCTCAGGTTAAGAACTTAATTCATTCCGGAGGTCCATTCTTAACCTGAAACTGTTCTTAACCTGAAGCACCTCTTTAGCTAGTGGGGCCTCCTGCCGCTGCCGCGCAATTTCTGTTCTCATCCTGAAGCAAAGTTCTTAACCCGAGGTACTATTTCTGGGTTAGCAGAGTCTGTAACCTGAAGCGTCT